ACGGGTCGAAGTGCCGGGGGAGGTTTGGTTTGCGAGGCGGTGGAGGGGGAGGGGGAAGGTGGAGGGCGGGTGAAGTTGCCGGGGGGAGGGGGGGGAAAGGGGTTGCCGCCGGGAGGGGGGGGGAGAGAGCCGCCAAAGGAGGGAGGACGAGGGCCGGGGTGTGGTGGGAAATGGGGACTAGGTTGGCCGTAGGTCTGACAGGGAGTCGGATGTGTAGTTGGCGGTGTCCATGTCGTGGAAGAGCATCCGTAGGAAGGTCCGGACAGGGCCCCGCACGGGTTTCCGGCCATGTTGTTGCCGTACATGATGCCGTGATGATGGGATGCCGTGGGCGAAGGCTGCGGTGGTAAGTTTTGCCTTTGGAGCATCGGAACCAAACCTCGAGGGGGTTGGAAAGCCATGCGAAAAACACGGGGGAAAAGGAAAAGTTCGAACCAAAAAGCTGGTGAGCGGAATCAAGCGGGTAAGGTCACAAGGCGAGAAAACGGTCGCAGAAAGGCAGAACAGCAAAGCAAAGAAAAAAGCGATCAAACAGTGCACCAATTCTTTTCCTGGTTGGGTGGAAGATGGTACACTTGCGCCCCGCTAAGCCGGGCGCTGCAGCGCGATGCCTCTCAGCATCGCAAACTTGGAGTGAAGGCACCACTTTTTGCCTCGGCGGCATGCGAAGTGGCGCCGCACGTTGTGTTGATCCTCGTGGCTTCCCCCGGATTCGAGGATTTTGTGCTGATTGATGGAGCGTAGTTCCCCAAAAGCGATGGCGCCGAGTTGAGACTTTCCGATTGTAAAGTTCTGCAAGAGCTGGCCGAGCGTGTCGGGCGTGCATGCCGTGGGGGTGGCCTGAGCGTAGCATCCAAAGCTCGGGTAGTCATGGTTCTCGGGCCTCCAAGCAGCGGGTCGGATCATGTTCTCATGGCACATGCGGCGCACTCGATCCGGGGTGGTGCCGTGCACATACATGACAGCGTGATGGGAGGCCGTGCCGGATCCAGCTTCCGGGTCTCCGCCAGCAACTGGCCAAGGATGAGGTCGGGGAAACCAAGTGGTTGCGAACACCATGCCGTGTGATTCCCGTCCCAAGAGGTGGTAGAAGCTGGGATCGAACGGTATGGGATCATCCGTGTCCATGGTTCGCAGTTCCCAGCATTCCGCGAGGAGATCGGCATGTGAAGGTGGCAAGGCAGGGTCCAGGTCCATCAAAATGGCCTTAGTCTGTTCCATCCTGGAGATGTCCAAGGCTGGAAGCGGGTCCAGCTCCCCCAACTCCCTAGGCGTGGGAACTCGCAGCGGGTCAGTCTTGGCCGTGTCCATGACGTTTCTCCATAGATCAAGCCACCGGTTGTCGGAAGTGGTGGTGGCGTTGATGTCCGCCTCCGATGGAGGGGGATCCAAATCACCGGTGTTGTCGGAGGGGGGTTGGGGAGGGTGAGGAGTAGCCGGCGTGGGTCGGGGAGGGGGAGGGGGAGGGGGAGTGGAAGTGAAGGCCGCCGCAGGTGCTGGGCGAGGGGGCAAGCTGGTGTTGTGGTGGCCGGTGCGGGAAGTGGGGTGGGGTTGCTGCCCATGGTGCTGCAGTGACCAGGACGATCGTTTGTCCTGGTTGTTTCGGTGGCCGGTGTGGCTGGCGCCATGGTGGTGCATGTCCCAGCGGTTTTTGTTCTGTGGTGGGTATCCCCACGATTGGTTCCGCCAGTGTGAGGAGGACCATTGAGACTTGTTGGAATCCTTCCCGGAAGTGCGCCAGGAGTCCTTCCCGGAAGTGCGCCAGGAGGTGGAATCATGAGTAGTGTGAGTGGGTCGGTGCGAAGTCGTGGCTCTGGGTGCAGGGGAGTGTCGATGGTGGGACCTGTGTCGGGGGGAGCGGGAGCGGAGGGAGACAGTGGAGTGGTGTGCACGTCGGGAGTGGTGGGAGTGTCGGGAAAGGGAACGTGACCTGCTGTAGCTGCGGGATCGTCGGGTGTCGTGTCGTCGGTGCGACTTGTTGTGCCTGCGATGGTGGCTGGTGTGGGAGTGGGAGTGTCGGTGCTGCCTGTGGCGGGAACGGGATCTGCGAGAGTGGGGAGGGTGCCGAGTGTCCGGGGGAGGGTGGTTGGTTGAGGAGGTAGCGGCAGGAGCCGCAGCGGCAGCTTCGGGCGCGCGCGCCGGCTGAGGCTCGGGCAGTGAAGATGGCATGCTGCTCTGAGTCATAAAAGGCATGATGGTGCCAGGTGCCAAGTTGCCGTAATTGGGAGGGCCACCGTAGGGCATCATGGCCATCGGGTTGCCAAAATTCGAGAGGCCGCCGTAGGGCATCATGGGGAAAGGTGTGAAGGATGCCGTCTGCGAGTTGGGCGACGGTACAAGGTTCATGGGCTGCGTCATCTGGGATGACAGCTGCAAGTTCGGTCCACAATTGCCTGGTGAGCCGGACGCGGTGCCGGTCGCAATGCTGTGCAGGAGCGAATGCATCATGTCATAGAGCTGGTGTCCAGCCATCTCGCAAGGGAGAGAGAAGGTTGGAAAGGGGTGAAAACAAAACCACACCTGCAGCAGAAAAGCGTCAAAGGTGCAAATGCATGCGAGCCAACTTCAACCTGCGAATCGAAACCAAACAGAGGGAATTCCACCAGGGGACCGCCAAAACCCCGCGGCAACGGCAAAAGTTTTCACAGAAATGCATGCGAGCACACAGGGGTTCTCAGAGGTGCCTGTCAAGTGGCCTCATGAAAGTGCCTCATGTGGCTCATGTGGCTATGCCGATGAATCTGAACTGAACTCATCCGAGACGAAAGCTTCCATGAACGCTACGAATTGCAGAGTTGGTGTCTGACCAACTCGTCACTGGCGCATGAAGCTTAGGAGCCTGAAACCTCGTGGGTGCAGCCTTGCTTCAAAGGCAGGCAGTGCAGGCAGTGCAGGCGCATGAAACCATCAGAGCACCAGTAGGGTGCGGAATACCTTAAGACCTCAAGCTGCAGCTTTGATCGTGGTCAAACGCGCTGAACTGAACTGCAGCTTGAACTTGAACACTTGAACGGTCTTCCCCTCGCAGGGGGCTCCCGCATATGGCGAGTCCAGCCCACAGCGCCATGTCGGACAGGCCGTGGGTAAACACACTTATCTCGAGAGGCTTCACTAGCCGAGATGCAAAACGCAGTCAGTAAAAATGCTTGAATGCAAATGCAAATCAACAGGTCACAACATCGACACCGAACAGGAAGCAACAGCGACAAACAGAAACCGCAAAAAGAATCAGGAAAGAGGGTCAGGAAATAGGCAGGTACGCCGGATTGATCAGATCCGGTATCCACCGAAATGCCGTAGCTTCATTGGACTGGATAGGCAAATCGGCTCCAGTCCCCCTGCAATGTGGAATTTCCGTCCGTGCTCCAGGACGCTTCACACACACACACACACACACACACACACACACACACACACACACACACACACACACACACACACACACACACACACACACACACACACACACACACACACACACACACACACACACACACACACACACACACACACACACACACACACACACACACACACACACACACACACACACACACACACACACACACACACACACACACACACACACACACACACACACACACACACACACACACACACACACACACACACACACACACACACACACACACACACACACACACACACACACACACACACACACACACACACACACACACACACACACACACACACACACACACACACACACACACACACACACACACACACACACACACACACACACACACACACACACACACACACACACACACACACACACACACACACACACACACACACACACACACACACACACACACACACACACACACACACACACACACACACACACACACACACACACACACACACACACACACACACACACACACACACACACACACACACACACACACACACACAAACACACACACCCACAAACACACACACACAAACACGCACACACACACACACAACCACACACCCACACACCCACAGACACCCACATACACCCACATACACCCACACACGCACAAACCCACACACCCCACACCCACACACCCCAACACCCCCACACCCCACACACGCCCACACGCACGCACACGCACACACGCACGCACACGCCCGCACACGACCGCACACGCCCGCACACGCACGCACACGCACGCACATGCACACTTACGCACACTTACGCACACGCCCGCACGCCCGCACGCACGCACGCGCGCGCGCACGCCCGGCCGCGCACGGCCGCGCCCGCCCGCCGCGCGCCCGCGCCCGCGCCCGCGCCCGCGCCCGCCCCGCGCTCGCCGCGCCCGCCCGCCCGCGCCCGCGCCCGTCCGCACCCGCCCGCGCCCGCGCCCGCCCGCGCCCGCGCGCAAGCACCCACCGCACACACACATATACACAGACACACAGACACGCACACGCACACGCGCAAACGCGCACACGCACACGCGCGCACACTCACGCACACATATAGATACATACTATGCATATGTGCAAATACGGATACATGTGTGCATGCACGTATAGATAGATACACTAAGGTATACTACATTGATATGCACACATCGGTATGCAGCAACTACGTCTGCCTGTGCGTATGACTATATGTCTCTGTGTATTTACGTACCTGCATACGCATATATGATGTGATGGCCTGCATGTAACCCCATGCAATGTAGTGCCAGGGCTTCTAAGGTAATGTAATGTCCTGCAATACTTGTGCATAGTCGTACACGTGTGTTTCATATCCTGGCTGTGGGTTAAGAATGGGGCAACTGCAAAATGAACCCTGTTGAATGCAACCAAGGACTAAAACCTGCAGTCTGGGCGTCCGAGCATGGGTGCCTTTTTAGGGGAAATAGATGGGTTTCCCTGGTAGATGAGAAGAAACCACCAGGTAAAAATCAGGCATCGCCATCTAATTTTCTACCAAAAAACCAGAAAAGACACCTATGCGTCCGAGGGTCCAAGATCAGCACCCGAGACTGAAGAGCGGCCACCCCCCAGGCCACCAGCACCAGCTGCTCCAAGCTCATGTCACTCAGCCGGGTTCGCCCGGTGAGCCTCAAAGGAAGCAAGTGGCGGCTGGCAACACCTGGAAAAGATCAAAAATGCAGAAAGGTGCAAGAAGTGAAACAATAACATGACACGTTATTGTTTCACTTCTTCTTTTCACCCACTCCATTATTGTGTTTTTCAACAAAGATTGAGTGTCCTGGCACTGCGGCGTCTTGAGGCGTCACGAGGTTGAGCCACGCAGTCAAACTGCAAAAAAGCTCAAGGCAGAAAAAAACAACTCAAGGAACGCCAAGAAGCACTTTGTGGAACTTCTCACTGCAGGCTCCTAGCAGTCCCGCAGACCGCCAAAGCTGCGCAATGTCCCTACACGAAGGCGCGGCTTCAGCCGCATCTATGAGCGCCTGCACCAGCGCGGCGTGAATCGCCTCTGGGTCTTGCACTCCAAGACGGCTGAATGCTTCCAGCAGAGAGCCAGCTCGCAGTATCATGCCCCCAGCCTGCACGGTGCGCAAACCGTTGGCCATGGGTCAAAACCCCTTAGCCTTGGTGAACATCCCAATCCCCAATGAAATAGACTAAAATGGGTGGTGCACCTACCCCAAAATGGTACCCACAGACACTTGTTTCCAAGTCAGCAAGGGAAACAGATCGGACATCACGCCATGCACTCTTGCCATAGCCTCGGCTTCATGGATCAGGACCAAACCCAGCTGCTGCATGCCGTTCTCGCATGCAGCGATGGCCGTGCTGCAGGTCGCATCAGTGAACGGCATGGCAGTCGCCAAGGCGAGGGTCTGCTGCCACAACGAGTTCTTCTCACTGGCGCTGAGCGCAGCATTACAGGCCGCGCCGCCGGCAATGCGTCGCTGCGCCATGCCACAAAGGAGACTGAGGCCGAAGGGCCAATCAGCCGCCGAAACAGCTGCACTAAAGCCAAAGTCGTCCTGCTGCAGCCGGAACATGGGCATGGCATTCAGGAGCTGCCAGGCAATTTGCCATTTGCATGCGTTGATCGCCTCAACTTGCCCACAATCGTTTTGCAGCCTGAAACTCCGAAAAATGTCAAGGCTGTACACTTTATATGTGCCATGATAATTCAGCCGCGTGTCGGAGTTGTAGCAGCCCGCGTCAGCTTCTGAGCTTTCATGCTCAAGCCCTCACAGAGCTGTTCTGAAATTCGCAAATGAAAGGAGGATGACTTTTTTGTGCAGTACCGAAATCACATGGGTGATGGTGGGTGCAAACGCAGCATGCCACAAAAAGCAGGAGCAAACAACATGGATGTTGAGTCTTGACCTCTTACCTCGCTTTGCTTCGGGGATCACCTACCAAACTGCAAGCCGGCCTGCTGACAGTCTCATCGCCTGCGAGAGGCATTGAATGTGAAATGTGCAGTGGAGTCTCGTGGCAAATATTGCTGCAAGTTTCTCATAAAAAATAAGCCCAGGTGATATCCCCAACAGCATGGGGTGCTATTTTTGGTGCTCGCACCACCCCGCAGCCCTCGCAGAACATCGCAGAACCTCGTGGAACCTTCGTGGAACCCTCGTGGAACCCTGGTGGAACCTGGGTAGAACCCTGATGGAACCCTCGTGGAACCTTACCTCAGGGCCGCCCCAGACGGCGGGGGGATCACTTTGGTCGCAGTTTTTGGATCACTTTGGTCGCAGCTGAAATCCACTCACTTTGGTCGTAGTTTGAGCATTTGCGGATCACTTCTGTCGCAATTTTTGGATCACTTCAGGCGCAGTGGAAAATAGCTTTTTGAGCACACACGCAAAGGGTGTTGCCTCTCAAACACCTAACAACAAGACATGCCGCGTGGGGTGGGGTCGACAAGGATGTTGCCTCTCAAGCACCTAACAACAAGAACTGCCGGGTGGGGTGGGGTCGACAAGGATGTTGCCTCTCAAACACCTAACAGCAAGACATGCCGGGCGGGGTGGGGTCGACAAGGATGTTGCCTCTCAAACACCGAACAACAAGACATGCCGGGCGGGGTGGGGTCGACAAGGATGTTGCCTCTCAAACACCTAACAACAAGACATGCCGGGCGGGGTGGGGTCGACAAGGATGTTGCCTCTCAAACACCTAACAACAAGACATGCCGGGCGGGGTGGGGTCGACAAGGATGTTGCCTCTCAAACACCTAACAACAAGACATGCCGGGTGGGGTGGGGTCGACAAGGATGTTGCCTCTCAAACACCATAGTCAACGGCGAAGAAACTAGGACCGAAGCGAGTAAGGAAACTAGGACCGAAGCGAGATGAAAACTAGGACCGAAGCGAGCCAGCAACTAGGACCGAAGCGAACCCGCGACCGCCCCAGACTACCCCGGAGCCTATCTGGGCTGAGACCCCATCGCTTTCAGCTGTTGGGGAAAAATGCATCTGTTGAGCTCAAAGTCTCAGTGGGCCACAAGGAGTCATGGTTGATCAATATTCCATTCGGGCCCCAGTTTTGACCATGGGACACTTTTCCTAAAGTCGAATCCTTTTTGGGTGGCTTCCCTAATGATCACCCCATGTTCATCGGACCTTCTGATCAACCCCCACATGTGCCATTAGAAAACAAATGCCTTGGCTTTTTTGCTGGACACGCAACTGGGCCTGGTGGGCCTGTCAGGGTCTCCCTTCCCAAGCCAACGCCCTTTGCTTCCCCAGCCCCTTGACTCAGATTCTTTCGAATTGACTCAAGGTCTGCTTCTTCGCCCTTGCGTTTGCACCGTGCGGGTGTTCCCGTTCTCTTTTTCCGGCTGAAGTGAATTTGCATGGGGGCCACTGGCCTGCAGCAGCCGCAGTGTCTGCTGCCACTCCAGCTTGGACGAGATGCCGCTGCAGCCATAGGCGTCCAGGGGGACTTGTAGAGCCATGGCCCAGGAGGATGAGTCCTTCGAACGAAGGACGCTTCAGCATCCACGTTGCCCATAACATTCGGTACTTGGCCATGGGTCAAAATCCAAATCGTACCCCCAGTGAACATCCCAATCCCCAATGAGATAGACTAACATGGGTGGTGAATTCACCTACCCCAAAATGGTACCATTGGTTTTGACTCGACCCACAGCCACTTCAATTCCCACATCCCCAAGCAAAGCTGAAACGGACTTGGCACCATGTCTGCAATTGCAAAGCTGTCCTTCACGCTGAGCGCAGCTGAGCGATACATGCCGTCTGGCTGCTGGCCTGACGACGCTGCCTCCTCCAGTTGTTCCCACGCAATTTGCCAGGGCAAATGGTTCATCAATGCATTTCTGCAAAGGTCACGTCCAGCCGCGGCAAACAGTGTTGTCGCCTGCCTCCATTCACCCGTCATTCGGGAAATGATGCTTGCCGTACGGGTGGCTGACCTGTGACTCGAATCCAAAGCTGTCTGCCAGTGAGCTGTGGCCAAAGCATTGAAGGTCACTGCGTTCGCTTCTACCTTGCACCTGGCCATCTGCTCCAGCAGCAGTGTTGCACACCGCCAAGGTCTCTCCATGGCGAACGAGGAAAAGCAAAAGTTGTCCGGCGCCACTTGCGCCCTCAGCATTCTCAACATCAAACTCGCTGCCTGGGCCCAGGGCGCTCTGCGTAGAAGAGTGCTGTAGCTGAATACATCCAATCCTTGGATTGAGATACGTCTGGATTGCAACATATCTGACATGAACCTATACACACTGATATACATACTGATCTTCACTTCTCCCACAGATTCATCTTCGGGCACTTGAAGCATGGATCATTACAGCTCGGACCCACACTTGCACACGAAACGCAAGCCTAGCTGCCCTGCTCATTATTTCAGATGGGCTTAGCCTTACGCATTCTTCTCCAAGTGGCGAAGCTGCTGTGCCATGCTGGCTGCCAGCTCTGAAGCCCTGAGCCACGGCATGCCAAGGGCGGTGTTGCAACAAATTACGTCTGCGCGAAGGCGCTGCGTCGGCATGAAGCTCAGCACATCCAAGGCCATCTGCCAGCGACCGGCAGAGGAGAGGCAAGAGATGCAGGAGCTGAGGATAATCTCGTTGGGTGCCACTGTCATCCTCGGGGAATGGCTGAGTCTTTGTGCCGCAACCCCTAAATTCAGCGTAAAATGAGCAGCTGATTCTATTTCTCGGCCAGTCTTTGCGGAATCCGTCCTGTGCATCTCATTCAGAAGGAGCAATGATGTTTCCCAAGCGGCTCCGCAAGATTTCATCGCAGACCCATAGCTGAACTCATCTGGCTGCAGCTGGCTTTGCAGGAAGTCCAGGAAGAACAAGGCCATCTGCCAATTTTGAGCTTTTCCACACGCAGCCAAAGCCGTGTTCACATGAATCACGTTCAGCGCGCGCTGAAGGCGCAAATCCTCCAAGAGCTGCGCTGCAGAAGTAAGGCTTTCTCTTGCCACCCGCTTCACGGCTGCAGTTGCTGCCCTTGGATCGCAAACCATGTTCTGTGACGCTGGCCTGCATGTCCATCCGACTATCGCGACTGGCTCCGGCACCTAATTCTGATTGGCCAGCAGCGGGGCTCAGCAAACTCAAGCTCTGCAACTTGCCTTTGTCGGCCAACCTACCCATCTCCAGTGGATCGACCTAAAAGTGACCGGCAAAGCGACGAAACTGGGCACGCTGAAACAATCGTCAGATCATCCGATGAATTCACTCACCAAACGAGGCGTTGCATGTGTTTGGTACCATGGGGCTGGCAAATTCCCTCCTTTCACGACCCTCAATCAGCTACAACCGGACCACTGGATCTGTCAGCGCGATCGCGCTCTTTTGGCCAGTGAGCGGACCTCCAAGTTTATGAGTCTCTGCTAAGCCCATCTGCAGAGCGTTTGCAACTTGCCTTGGCGCTCTGTGACGGTTCGGATAATCTGTGCCAGGCAGTCACAAATCGAATCTGCAGCTTGTCACTGGCCATACGTCGATTGGACAAGGCATGGGAAGTGGGAACTCCCGCGGGGACATGGCGCTGATTTCGCGTATTGAGGATGGCTCACCAGCGAGCAACGCGTGGCGGGTTACCAAATCCATGTCGCACCTGGGATTTGTGGTTCATCCGATTTAAAGGGTTTCACCCATCTCAACTGGTGCAGGATTGTGTAACCAATCTGTCGCCTTCCTTTCTGCGAACACAGGCCATCGTAGCCGACATGCTTTTGTGCCCTAGCCAGAGTCTGGCAGAAATCCACTGCCTGGCCGGTTCGGGCTGTTCGCAGGTCGCTCTTTGGGGGTGATGCTGGGACCGAACACTTAAGTGGCTATCCAAAAACAAGTACGAGTAGCGTCTGTATGTGTATATATATATATATGTACATCATGCATGATTATCATACATACCTGGACCTTCCATTGTTGCGTAAATTTGTGTCACGAAAGAAAAAGCTCGGGGCAACTATTTTCGCCCAATGATCCAAAATGTGCTCGTTCCCCAGAAAAACACTCGTTTCATGAACATGAGCTTCTTGCAAAATACCAATTGTTACGTGTTTGGGATTTGCGCTCGTTTTGCGGGTATTTGCGCCCGTTTTGCGGGTATATTTCCACATGTATATATGAGAGAAGCCGCCGCAATAGCCAAAAATGCTCGAACCCAAATTGGTGCCCGTTCCCCCGAAAGAAAAACACACACACACACACACCCGACTAGCAAATTTCTGCTACGAAACACCCAAGGGGCACACATTTATGTAACGAATGAAGGTCCAGGTACTTATGTCAAATATAATTTCTCAACATCTATTCACAAGCGAAAATGGTCGATGATTCGCACACACGTCCAATTCTGTGGATACACCTGGTCCACCTGGTAGCCTCGCGCATTCAATGACTCTTGTCCAGAGCGTTCGGAAGAGCTGGAATAGTAGTTCTGATGTTGGTACTTTCATCAGCTGCCTTCTTTTGTTTTCTTGGAAGCTATCATGCCGATGACATCTTTCTTTCTTGCAAGGACTCCGAGAATTGCGACATCCTGCTAACAGCCATTGTCCGAACAGGTACAAAGACTTACTTTCCTTCCAAGGTGCGTACCTGGTGTCTGGATTACGAGTCGCTCCGAGTAACGCAGCTTGGCACCTCAACCTCCGACCGACTTGATCCAACGACTTCCTGTGAGGCTTCGCCTCGAGCCATGGCCCGCTGCAAAACGGTCGTTGGGGTCATCTTCAAGTCGGTGTGCACATGTGCCCCCCCAATACTTAGCCGTTTTGGGGGGGAGTCTTGGGGGGGGGAGTATAGTCTTCTATGACATGTGTTATTTTTCAAGTGTGTCGGCAACAGTGAGCAAGTCTACATAGAGATGCCAAGATCGGACGCTTTCATTGGCTGGCCGCCAAAGCAGCGCAGCGCTGGGACAGTTGAACTCAGACCGCATCTTTGTCCAACATACTACATCAGTTTCAGAGTTGGTGATGGCTTCTGCCCACATCTTCCCGATTTTGCTGAGAGCTCATACGTCCTCTCTGCGAGCTGCAAGGGTATCAGGGATTGGGTTCCTAGAGACAGGCGTGGATTCATGCCCGTCAAGGGAGCCGACGTATTTTTTGTGGGCACCTTCTGTACCGAGCAGTCGAGGCAGAACAATGGCTGCGCAGCCATTGTTCGCCATGGACAATAAGTTGCAAAAAGAATCTGGGCATTTGGCCTGCTCGCCAAGATCCAGCCTTGGGTGCTCGCCAAGATCCAGCCTTGGGCTTTTCGACACGTCTGAAGAGCCTTCAAAGACATGGACCCCAATGCGAAAGGCACCGAAACCCACGACAACAATGCGCGCCATCGCTGTATCTGTTCCTAACAGGAATTGAACGTTGAAGCCTTTGTGCATCGGGAATCGCATGGTTCCGACATGCCGGAAGCTGATAGCAGCTGTACATCGTAATGCCCTGCAGGCATACCGAGGAAATTGATCCAAACAGGCCAAGCCCCTGACCAGTCTGTGAATGCCGATGGTATCATCTTGGTTGTTCGGGTTGCGTTGTCCACGAGGTCTTTGGGACTAGAACGAAATAGCAAGGATGCCTTGTCCTTGACCGGCCCAGGATTTCAGCTTTAAATTGTCTTTGCTTTAGCTGAACTCCAACGCAATGGTAAAGCAAGGCGCTTGCCCAAAGGCAACGGTTCTGTCAAAGCGCCACTGCGCACGGCGCGATCTCAAGACCCTTCCAGAGCCGTCGTACAAGGCCTCCGCGTTCATGCCTTAAGAGATCTTGAGAGGTTGTGCTCATGCTGTCAGCGCAACATGGAGTGGCGAAGTCTTAGTGTCAGCAACATGCCCTGTTGTGAGTGTGCAATTCCCAGCACCTCTTTCTTCCTCTCTCCTCTCTCTCTCGCTCTTTCTCTCTGTCTCTCTCACTCTCTCTCCCACCCCTGCTGCCAGCCCCGGTTGCCGCTGAGCTACTCGTCGTGCCGGGTGATGAATGCGATTGTTGCGTTGCCGTCGGTGACGAGGAGTGCCTCATTACATGTTGACGAGGCCAGCGTTACAGATTCAGGGTGACTGCAAAATCTCTTGACATCAGAAGCCGTGGACATAACGCCATTGACAGGAAGTCACAGCTGGACACTATCCGCTAACACGTGGTGCTGAGAAGCCGACCTTCGCCTCCGAGTTTGCTTGTTAGCTCCCTTATTTCATTAAATGGCGGCTCCAAAACATGCTCCAAAACCAAGCTTCTGAAAACATGTGGCCATGGGTCAAAATTCCGTACCCCCGGTGATCATCCCAATCCCCACCGAAACAGACTAAAATGGGTGGTGCACCTACTCCAAAATGGTACCATTGGTTTTGACCCACAGCCATACTTGGACCCTCTGGTGGACATCATTTAGGTGGGGTTTTATGTCCACCAACCACTTTCCAGGGCGTTCCTTATTTAAATTCATGGTAAATTTGTAAATTTCCAACTCAGAAACCTCAATGCATGTCTTCGACCCGCAAAGCGCAACGGGCCGGCGAGCGAGCCTTGGCCTGGAAGCTGCGCACAAATCGGAAAGGCCTTGGAGCACTTGATTCGAAGGCACGCCTTCGCCAGAAAGCCTACACTGGCAAAAGGACGAGGTGCCCCCCAAGTATGCAGGAAACGCTACGGCCAGGTTGCGAAAACTGGTGCTGTGTGCAGCCATGCAAGTTGTTTTTCGTGGATTCTCAGGCATGTGCTGAAGCATGATCGGTGCAAGCTGTTCAGCATATGTTGCTCGCCCCCTTTGTTTTTTGCTCTTTTGACCAATCTGTGTTTTTTTGTGTTGGGCGTCCTGTGTACCACATTCCGCCCAAGCCGTTCGACCAATCTAGCTAGCTATCCCTGCAAGTTGTTCTTTGTCCGTGTGTGTGTTGCTTGACAGTTTCTCTATTATCTTCAGTTATGTACATGACTTGTGCGAGTTGCTCCTGCATTTTGCGGCGGTGCATTTTTTGATGTGAGTGTTTGCGAACCAGAGAGCGAATGTTGAGCGAGTTGCAACCCTCAACCACAGTGTTTCTAGTTTAGCTCGCACATTCTGTCACGAGCAGAAGACGTAGCTAGCTCATTCTGGCAGTTTGCGCTAAGACTTACGCGCCAAAAATGATGCACGCCTCGATATATTGCATGCCAATCAACAAGCATGCCGCCCATCAATAAGCATGGATCCGGCAGTCTCATCAACAGCGTGTAGGCAACATCCCTATTTATCCCATTTTGTGAACCTGTGCAAGGGACAACTTCTCTTCCTGGCTTTGGCACTTGCATCATGCACCTCTCACGGCCCTCGACCTCTAAGCACCCGGACAGGTGCCACTTGCCAAGCTGGCGGGCTATTCAAGCACCAGCTCCAGCACTCATCAACCCTCTAGGCTTGTGTCAGGTTTTGCTCGACAATTGTCCATATGGGTCAAAACCCCGTACCCTTAGTGAACATCCCTCCCCACTGAAATAGACTAAAATGGGTGGTGCACCTACCCCAAAATTGTACCATTGGTGTTGACCCACGGCCAGATCCAAATGGCCACATCTGAAGCCGGACACATCCTCAAGCAATCTAAAGAAACAGCGCCTGAGCGTGCATCAGGCGACATTGGCTGTGGGACCTCAGACGGACAGAGCGGCGAGGCTTGATCCAAAGGTCCGATGAACATCGGATGACACGTTGGTTGGAAAACCACTAAACCGCTTTGACATTTCCACCAATAAATTGGGGGCCAAGAATATTCGGCAAGGGCAGCCACGACGGTAACCACGACGACAACCACAGTGGCAGCAACATGCCACTGGCCATAGCCCCCAACCATTTCGGCTCAACTGATCATCATGGCCTGTCCGTGTTCTCGTTTCTGCATGCTTGGGTGCGAGCATCTGCATGAGGGAGCACCTTGTGCAAACGTGAGATGCTTCTGGCAGCTCCTCTTGCAAACCAGGATCAAACAACTACGCTGGTAACATCCGAAAATAGAGAACTCCCACTGTGCCTGATAGATTCAACATAGATTAACTGGACAGTCCAAACGAACCTAACATGCTGCTCTTTCTCTGTCTCTCCCTTCTCCCTCAGGCATGTGCTGCTGCTTGCATCAGCGGAGTGGAGCCACCCTGATCCAGGCGCTCAAAGCTTAAGCATGTTTATCTGCCACTGGGCTGGCAACGGCAGATGGAGCCCTCTGCGAATTCTGCGATCACCCGCGCAATTGAAACAAGTGGGAACAAATCTTCAGCGGGTCCGGCGCGTCTTGCCCTCTGACCAGCTCTCGGCTTGATCGATCGATCGG